GGGAGACACGAGGAGAGCGTAGGCCACGATCCTGAAAACTGATATTACGGAGATATCGAGCGCTTCCGTGTCCAGGGCCGTAATTATACAACGAACCGATGTACCCATTGCGCCATGCGCGTTATTGCCATTATGCGGATGTAACTTTTGCTCGAACAGATGCTTCGATGTTGATATCGAAATCGCGCGACGCGCTCCGCTGAGAACGACGCTGAGGACGTTACGATAGCGAGAAAAGAGGGGTGTAGTATGGTTTGACATGGCTAGCGATCCAACGCTAGCTCGTAAATTTAGCGGTAAGCGAACCTAATCGTCGTCGTTCATTAGATGCGAGATATATATATATATATATATATGTATACACATACGTTTGTTGCATAAGCAGATCGAATTCCAGATTTTTCATTTAAAAGAACTGTCATTTAAAAGAATATCGAGTCTTTGTCATATATTTGTTTGAACTGTAATTAATCAATGATAATGGCTACAAAAATGTCATTACGTCTATTATACTATTTACAAGTAAATATTTCATTGGAAATGGAATTTTTATTTGTTTGATGATTTTATTAAATTTTATATTATATACCTTAGTATCATAAAGATTTCTTTCTATTAAATAAATAATGATATGAACACGTTAAGATAATTCAATGTCGATAATCAAACGTTTAATTTTGCCAAAGTAATCATCGAAGAATGATGAATATAATGAATATAAATACGTATGTTCTTTGCAACGATAAAACATCATTCCGTTTTCGTTGAACGGTTTAATTAATGCACATTTATCGGTGACTTGTTAACAAGTGACGACGTAGAAAGAACAGTGGTACTAATAACTTTGTTACTAATTATTCGCCGAACGAAAAAGTAATTACCATCGTTACGCGGTCGCGCATAATCGGCGAACAGATGTTCCCGCGTAGAAAGTCGACCTGTTCGACGTGTTTTACGGCTGCTGACAAATAACGGAAGAATGGCGATCGATGCGTTGTCGGTGAATTTAACGAGCCACGGCCAATTGCTGCTTCTCATTACGCGTTAACAAACCGAATTCTTAAACCGTGTCTGCGAACCGTGTGTCCTCAACCTTTATCCCCACCACCGCCTCTTTTTCTCTGCCTGTAATTGCTCGTTTCACCGTAGAGTGGCGACATTCGCGCAAAATAGTACCGAACGGTGAAACTGAATTGTTGTTGCATAGCTTCCATCAAAAATACCTATTTTTATATCGCATTCTTTAACTATCGTTTCCTTCAATGATGAATTAATTAATATCACTAGGCCGAATTACGAAACGTGAATCCAACGTGAATATACCATTCACGCGTCCCAGTTCACAGGTGTATCGCCGGCATATCATTAACATCATATTAGTTGGATTCATGTTAACACCTTGCCCACCCCTATAACGTAAAGAAGCTTCTCTTGTATCCATGCTGATCAGTTTATTTTTGTGTACGTGAATATTTATCAAGATGAATGATACACACGAAAGAATTTGATAACGGCTTATAAAACGGCCATTGTTATAAAAAGATTTGAATCAGATTCTTCACAAATTTAAACGTACTTTTAAAACGTCTTCTTTTAAAGCGTATCGGCCCATAAATTTTTTTTAAATATAAACTTGAATATAACTTTCTCGTCAATTAAACGGTCGCACATAAAACGGATCGAACGCATTCCGTGGCAAGAATTTCATTAGCACGTAACTGTTGAAAATGCTGGAAAATTGAACGTGGCGTGCGCGTTAAATGGACGCGCGGGAACCGCAACGAGATTAATCACTGCCGTTTGAAATTCTTTTTTTTTTCGCGGTTAAACGATATACGAAAATATACATAAATGAGACAGAGAGAAAGAGAAGGAGAGAAATTTTATAAAACAGTATATAACTCGTTTGCGGCAATATTCATCGGGTTCGTTTAATTAAAGGCACCATTATAAGGCATCCTTTCAATCGACCAACGATAAACATAACCTTTCTCCTCTTCGTCTCGACGCTCCCCAGGCTAGGGGAAAAATTGAACGACTCTCATCGTTTAACTCGCAATAACACCGGCCGAAAGAAAGGAATAAGGGAGAGAGGAAACGTGCGAGCAGAAAATGAACGGAACAAGCGGCATCACTACTGGAATCCCTCCACTTACCAGTAAATATATTAACTACCTAATCTGTAATCGCGAATTTTACGATTCTTAGGCTACGCGCTATACCCGGCGATCGTATTATAAATTCACGTAAGTAGGCTATAAACTCCAATTATCGTTACGCACATTTCCGTAGAAATGATTCGCGTAAAATATTTATTATCCTGCACGACAAGAATTGGCCTCGCGATCGTAAAGCATCCGCGAAGCTCGTGTAAACTGTTTATTTAGACGGCTCGAGAGACGAACCGTTTCGACTATTCACCACTGCCGGCAATTAACTGCCGGTTTTTTTTCCCCCCCCTTTATTTTCGCTGCCTCGACTTTATAAGCCTCGTTGCAACCTGCGCGCATGTAAACGCCCCGGTAATTCGTCGATCGAGAATACGTTAAGATAGGAAACACGCGCGGTTACGAGAGAAGATAACCGACCAATTATCGTTGTTCCATATCGCGCCGCGTATCGGCATTTGAAAGTTACAGATGACGAACTTACTTAGTTAAAAGCTTATCCTCATTCGTTGGCTAACGGAAATATTATGCATACAATACATGGAATCTGCTAGAAATTGTTACTTATGGTAAAGATGCTTGGTTATTCAAGATTTTAAATACAGGAAGGCAATTAGTTAATTTACTTAGAACGTACTTAAAAAAAATCTACGCTAATTGCCGACTTCCAGGGATCAGTTGAACAAATTAATCTTCTCATAAATATAGAATAAAACGTAAATACACACGCGAGGTAAATAAATGATCAAAGAGAGCAATCTTCCTGCACCGCGAATACAATGCCAATAATACTTTAACAATACGACAAACAAGAGTGACGGTTGGCTCGCGATGAAATGACGATTTCAATGTGGCTTTTAATGGCGCTTACTTCAGCCTAAAGTTCGCGCGCGCGATTGAAACGCAGCTAAAGGAACAAAAGGGGTCGCGTCCCCTTTATCATTGGGTTAATCGAAATGAAGGAAAAGCTTGAGCTTTAAAAGCGCGCGCCACGATTAAAAAGAACAGTGCGAGAATCGAGTCTCGACTCTCTCCTCTCGACCGATGCAACCTCGCACCTTTCTCGCGAGAGCCCATGCGGGTATAAGCCGAAGGCTACCCGTATTATTATCTAGTCTTGCCGTTGCACCTGCGCGTAAGTGCGTCGTTTCGATGTTATTTTGTGTTTGAGAGTCTCCTTCCTTTTTTCGGCAGCGGGATGATTACGCGCATGCGCGGCTCTCGTGGCCACCCCTTTCCGCACGCTCCCCGCCTTCGTGATGATCATGGACCGATCTCGTAAATCAGAATTTAATTTTCCCTCTTGACCAGATACGAGCAACGGATTTAACAAGTGACGAAATCGGGTACACGCGCGGATAAAACTCGAGGAAATTATTATACGTCGGAATTTTGATCGAACAATTAATTTCAGTTGGAAAACGATACCGTGATTGAATATAGGTTAGTATGCTTCTAAAGAATAAATGACGATACTCTTAAATTAAATTGAAAATAAGAAAGATTTATGGAATGTTTATAGAAGTTTTAAATTAATTAGTTTAATTTATTTTTAAAGTTTTTTTCACAAATTATTTTTAACTATTATATATAAAATATTAATATAGAATAAAAAAAATGAATTTATTCAGACAGAAATTTTAATCAATTCACATAATCGTAAATCTTGTATGCATCAAATATATCTTCTCATCAAAACAATTTACTATATATTACATAAATATTAAGAAAATTGAAAATAATTCTCTATTAAAGTACAAACAGACAAAAGTACTTATCCACTTTATTAACGTCTAATTTTTTAGAAAGTACAATTCCTATTATTCAATAATTTGAAATGTCACAAGTATCTTCATATTTACTGCCTGCTATCGACTTTCTTAGCTAATCTTTAAATATAAAAAAAAGAAAGTTGAATGAAGTAGATTAGAAAACTATTTGAATTAAATTATTTGTAATGACGTAATCAATGAAATTAAAATAGTAATTTCTCAGAAGAAATTAATTTTCATTATGATACAAGTCAGTTGCTAACTTTAGAACAAGTATTAAATGTTTTTATCAAATAGTTAGACGTGAGATATCATAACTTGTAAGCGACGGCCGTCGGTACACATTTACGAGAAACAGGTGTATAGCTATAGAAAATCACCTAATTTAATACCTAACATTTCGTTACATAAAATTTACTGGAATTGATTGAAAATAATTTTTATACGTTTATAAATTAATTATGCAAACATTTCCAAGAGAAAATATAAATTATCAAAAACATAAATCAATAACGTAAATTAATAACGTGTGCGATATTGAAGCAATTTTATGAAACATTGTAATCGTATCGTGAATAGGATATCTTAAAAAGCGGAAACTAATAAAAGTAGTATATAATTACCTGTGATATACTTCATAATGCCTTTACTTTCACGAAAAAAAAAAAGAACAGAAACGATCATTCGTCATGATTAGAAGGATTTTGAAATTGCCAACCGATAAAGAACCGTCATTATAGAAATAATTGAATCTGATTTTGCAGATAAGGAAATAAAACTCATTACCAACACCATCATCACCACGGCATCGGCTATGAATTATTTACTATGCGATTTTTCTCGAAATTATAACTTTGCTATACGCAGAGATTACGCGATAATGTTTCGAACGATGTCATCTTGCATCAAAATCATGAACGACAACTTTTTATTCTCGAAAATGCTTTTAATCACGACACGCGTATGTTCTTGTCACGAACACGATTGACGAGAAATCTAATAAAAATCTTCGAGATTCAAATCTGACATTGAATGAAATGTTTTATAGTTTATGACTCACCTGGGACGCCGACGGATACGAGTATCCGAACTGCGCGTACGCTGACATCTCAGCCGGTTTCGACGAACAGTTTTTTTCTTTTCGTTACGTTGTCTCAATGTCTCTTCGCTTAACGAAAAATTGGGTCACAATCGCACCTGCACGCACTACACTCTCACTAAGTCAGTACTACTATCGACAACGAGGATAACACGAAACTAATAACGAGTCGAATTGTGACGAATGATCGCGATATATCGCGAACGGTGATTGCCATCAGGGTGTCTTTGAGTCGTGACCGAAGAATTCGACCGACGACCACATGTCGAATCTTGTATTTCCCGTGGTGCTCGGTCAGGAGGACGTGCCAGCTCGATATCCAAACTCGAATATCCAACAATGTCCCGAAAGTGTTCACAGATGAATCCAGTCAATGGCACGAGAAAAGGGCAAAAGGATGACGGGGCACGGTTTGAAGTTGAAATTCGCACTAATGAAAAATCTTGGGATTGAACGCAGAGCGCAAACACGTCACACTTTGGGTTCACGTCACCGCGAGAAAAAGAGAATAGGAATAGAAGAACGTTGTAGCGGCGCGTCGGGCGATGGGACGGACATTCGGACAGACGACGAAGCGTCACGAGCGATTAGTTATAGAGTTTGTTCGTTCGTTCGGTCCGTCCCCTGCTCTCACAGGGCACTCCAGTCTGCGACTGACTCGCCACCACTCACACCACTTCAGCGGCCTTCCACTCCGCTCCGTCCCAGTTCCCCCTCTGGCGAGGAAAACCGAAAGCAACGTCTGCCCCCACTACCGCAGCGTAGGACGTGGTTCTTACGGAACCGTCCAATCGCGCCGCTTCGCACTACCCTACGGGCGTGTCACGTGGGACGGTACGTGGCACGGGATTGGCCGGCCGTTTGGCGCGCGGGCGTCCTTTCGAATCGAACTTGCCCACGAGCGCGACGACGCCTTTTGCCCCACCCGCCGAGAAACTACCGTGAAACGATCCCGCCGCTGTTCCCCCCGCCAAGACTCGACAAACGGCCACGGCGGAACAAGGAGAAACGAGTATGTTTACGCGAGTCTACTCTTGTCAACCCGACGGCGAGGGACTTAAATAAATCTGCCGGCCTCTCCCGCGCTCTCTCGCCAACCCTCACTGCCTATCCCATCCTACCCACCCACTCTATCTTTCTTTATTCTCCGACGAGCCACCTTCTTCCGGCTTATATCGCGCCATTGTCCGGCTTCGTGAAATCGCCGAGTACTACGATGCGTCGTGCCGCCTGTTTCCACGCTTCTCGGCCCTCGAAAACTTTGTTACGGCTACGTGACACGAAACGGCGAAACGTTCGGTTTACAAGGACACCCTTCTCGAGAGTTTTGCGAGGGACGAACACTCCACGAATGTTTCGGGGGAATTGGAGAGTAACGTCCGTGACGAAGAGAAACGATTCGAGGAATTCGAGTGGATCGAAGCTTCTATGGTTTATAAATAAAAAGTGGTCGTCGAAGGTTCTCGAGCGTTCGAGCTGCATGCAGAATGAACCTCGTAAAATTTTTTTCCATCATCCCGTGGATCGTAACCGCGACAAAGTTGGAGATACGTCGCGAAAAATGCGAGTCCCTCGAATCGTGTCGAATCGTTCGAGGATCGAGAAGAGATCTCGCAGGGAACGAGGATAGAACATCTTGGAACATGTATGAATGAAACAATAAAACAATAGAAGGTGTACGAACTGCATTCATTAGATCGTTATCGTCCCCCTTGTAGCGTATTATTCCATTTAGAAAACCAGTTTCTTGTTTTCGCTCACATTATTTACTAAATAGCTAGTTTTTTTTTTAATTTGCCGTTCAAATCTCCTTCATTATATCTTTCCGGCAAAGATTAATGGACAGGTAAGTTATTATAGGTTACTTTCACGGTACCCTAGTATCTAGTCTTTACGAAATCTAATCGTAACGTCGATTATTATTATCCGATTTCTAAAAATTATTTTTCGAAAATATTAATCGTCAAGTTTCTAAATTTCTAAGACATTCTCCTAATACGAGCCGTTTAAAAATATGGATATCTTCACTGCACGACAAAGTCACCCGAAACCCGCAATTATTTCGAGCAGCGCATAAATCTCTCCGCTCTAAATCGAGTCGAATATTCCGAGGGAAACGCTTTGGAGATTTCACGGACGTGGTCCGGTCGTCGGAAGGATTAGCCACGGGGATCGTTCGGTTTCCGTGGTATTTAGAATAATTTCACGGGTTATTAGACGGCGGTTACAACCGTTTCCCGCAAACGAGTATTTATCCGGCAAATTAGAGTGTCTTGGATTAACAGTTGTTTCGAACGTTCGCCTCATTCAAGATGGCGCTTACCGTATTTACCGTAGTGCCACCGTATTTATTCGTTACACGTTGCAATTCTTATCGCGGATATACGATCATGATATAAAATTTCTTCAAATGCTCGTGCTCGTAATCTCTCTTCTCATCTTTCACCCGTCATTTTTCATCATCGTTGTTGTCAAATCGAAAGAAGTTTCACGCGCTTTTGCCTCTCCCACTCCCCCAGTCTCGAAGATTTTAATAATTATCAACAACCGTCTGTTCTGTTCAAATAAACTCGATTTCGCTTTGTCTTCAATTTGTTGTTAATTTTCATAATTTTCTACAATCATGATTTATCGACAAAAATGAAACGAGGATCCAATTCCCGTGAGAGCGTGCGAACGTTTCGCGTTTTTCCGCGTGCCATGCTTGGTCGGCCATGTGTTTTATTCGTGTCAATGCGGGCCGGACGATTTTCCACCACGTTGCCTCGAGCAATTTGCAAGACGGCGTGCTACGTGCACTCTGTATATAGGGACGCGTGAAACGTTCTGACAGCCTTCCCTCTACCCCCCCCCCCCTCCCAATTCGTATCGGCAGTTTATCGCGCGAGAAACGCTCCGTGGACTTCGTGGATTTATAGAGAAGGAGAGAAAAAAAAAGGAGGGAAAGAAAGGAAGAGAGAAAGAGACGCGGAAACGTGTTCGAGGAGGAAATATGGAAAGCGGAGGAAAAAATGAGAGAGAGTGGAAAATGTTTGGTTGCGTGGCAACGCAAGATTCAGTGCCGCTAATAGGATTAGCTGACAGGTCGACGAGGTCTTTGGAAGATAAGGATCCCGAGGAGGTATCCTCGGTGTGTACCTGAGCCTGAGGATCGTTCAAGGAGGCGACGCAAGGCCCTTTCGAATGATTTATTGCGCTGCGTAAACCTAGTGACCTGCCGATCACGCCCTCTCGACGAACAGTCGCCGACATAATGCGAGGTTTTCGAGGATACGTTGTGGGGTCCTCTGGCCACTGTATCTCGGCCGTAGCGACTTGTCTCGTGCCACGAATCCCTTTCAAACAGTCAACGCGACCCGTCAAAACCGCACAATAACCCATTTAATCCTGTTTCAACTTGGCTCGCGCGCGTACACCTTTGTTTACCCGCTCCGCCGCAAAACGGAGGCCTCGCCCGTTCGATGTCCTCTTGTTTGCGCGGCAAATATTTTGCCGGCTGCTCTCGGGACGCGAGGAAGCCACGAACCGTTCGGCCGACGATCGACACAAGGGAACGCTTGAGATTAAGTGGACGCGATTCTTGGATTTGTGAAAATAATGTATGATTGTTTTAAGAATGAGGTTATGTTCGACTAAGTGTAAATGGCCACTTTACTTAACCTTGCAACGGTATAAGGAGGCTCTTAACTCAGCAGGGATATGCATTTTTAACGTATCGATCTTCGAATATTCTAATATTTAAAGGATCTCGATGTATTACGGGAGATTGGACAGAATTTAAATTTAATCGACATTTTGTTCTTCTTGTTATTATATATGTTATCTTAAGATCATTTGCTATCCATGCTAGCAACCTTATCAAAATTCTATGTTTAAAATGTATTCTATGTTTAATAGAATTCTCGATGCGCTCGATGGTTTTCTTTTTACGCATTCAATTGCCTACAAACGTAAAAATTAAACATAACCTAAAAGATTTTTTGCCACTTAATTGCACGAGACACGCATCATACATGACCATTAGAAAAAGATACTTTATATCGTTGTCCAGAATCGTACATCAAAGAATACTTCTGTGAGTAACGCTTAAATATCCCAGTGCGTAGTTAACGCCGGTTAAAGACGCATTGTAAATCTCAGCGCGGAGAAATATCCGGGGGCCAGTTGCACCGTCGTTTCATGTTTACAGCCGTCAAGTTTTTCAAGTGTGATAAGGCAGAAGGTTCGGGCTGAGAGGCGAAGGTAACGCGGCCGAGTCCTATCTCCCTGGCCAGTGTGTCCACTACTTGTTTGCAGGTCGAGTAAAAGTTAAACGGCCGTGTCGGGGCAGGCTGTCTCTAGCGATAAGACCGCTTAATAAGGCAGCAAACCATCCACCTTCTTCACTACTCGTTCATCTCGCTCGTCCCTCTTTCACCGTTTCTTTCTTTGTTTCACCCTCGACCCAGTTAGGTAAGGCCTTCCTCTCTCCCCTTATCTTTCCAACCATTGCCAGCTTCTTGTAATTCGTTACTCTTCTCACCAACGAGCGTCCAGGCCTAACGAGGGAAAGATTTCAACTACCCAATTCAAGGCGAAACGTAAGAGAAATCGAGAAACACAGGGACCCGTGTAGTCCGTAAACTGTCCTACTAACCACGGAGTTACAATGCTTTCGAAGGAAGCTTGATATTTTACGAGAATTTAGAATCGTCTATTTGGAGACGAAATTCGATCCTTGTTTTCTCCATAACGATGGTTATAGAGAATGGCAAGGAAGAATAGAGATAGAGAGCGCGAGCATTCGAACAAATTAGCCGCTTCACTGAGTCCAAAGGAGATATCCCCCCTCCTTTTATGATGGAAATAACTTTTGAGCGCACACTCGCGAAAAGAAAGAGAATAACGAATAAATATTGAATAGAATTCTTTCTTTCTTTTCGAATTCTTTCGACGATCTCGTAGCTATTCGATGTTTGAAACGTTCGCTCGACCACCGTCGTATCGGCGGCTTCTCGTGGCAGAGTCACAAAGGTAGGTCTAATCTGAACGCCGTAAAACGGTGCGATATTCACACCGTAGGATAAAACAAAGGCTGTTGCGGAGACCTTAGGTGGATGGTAAAAGTTGAAAGAGGGGAGCTAATAAGGGAGGTCCAGACTGCCCTGGCGCCTTCGGTGCACCTTCGAGGGGCACTGCAGTTTTATTGGCCGGTGTGTCCTTGTCCCTCCGTCCTCCTTTTCTTCTTCTTCTTCCTCTCCTTTCCTCTGTACACTGTGCTCCTCTGCGGCGACTTCGTCTTCTTCCACCGGCACTCGGTATGGCCGACCAGTATGTTGCCGTAAAAAAGCCGGTCTCCCCTTGTCTGTCCTCCTCCTCACCTCACCCCGCCTCCTCCCATGGAACGACGAACGAACGAACGACCAACGAAATGTCAACCGTAAACCTCGCGAGGCAACACTAATTAACCCGACCGAAATAAACTGCGCCGTTCAGCGGCGCTCTCTTGCCTTCTCTCGTTCACCCCTCTCTCCCTCTTCTCCTTTCCCTCCTCCTTCGCCTTTGCGTCTAGCGTGGCCTCAAAAAGAATTCGTTCGCCATCGCTTAGAATCCGAACGAGAGAATT